TACATCTGACATAGAACCAGTGTATAAACTGGAAACACAAGTTAAAGCATGAGGTGAAATACCAACAAGACCTTTCCATGTATGGGAACTTTTATAGAAGAGTAACATTTTGAGCCAAGTGCAAGGGATGAGGGTCTCTCTGTTTGAATCTCATTGCAGTCAATGACAACTCTAGTACTTGGATACAACATTTTAAAAACATCTGGCATTTTAGCTTCAATGTTATCCTTACTTGGCCATATATTAAAACTACCTAAAACAAAATATAAAAAATTAGCCCAAGTTATATAATCTTGCGACTAACTGTAGAAATATGACCGTTAAATCGGACCGCCAAATCTTGAGTTAGGAGCCCACACTTGAGTCTACATAAAAACATAAAAAGTTCATCAATGAGTAACATGTTTCTTTGTCTTCCAACAGTTACATTAACAGTATCTAAAGATTTATAGTAATAACTTATCATAGAACTAGCTGCAGGTTTAAAGAATGTAGTGAACATGGACATAGATACAAATCCAGTATAAAATAAAATCAAAGAGTCATCTTTTGAAAATATGGAAATTCCAAATCTTTCTATCTGTAATGTTTCCTGTAGACGCTGTATTTCTTCCTGTTTGTCCTGTAATATCTTCTCAAGTTCTTGTTTCTGGGTGAAGAAATTTCATCAAATGCACTGGAAAACAATTGACATCATGTATATAAGTATATTTTCGGTAATGTATGCTAAACAACAGTGTTTTTGTCATAAATATTCAAATTAATTGGTTAGATAAAACTTAATTAAAATGTTTATTTTCTGGCATGCCTTTTTATTTAGATGAGTATTGTATTAATTAATGGTGTATATTATAAGAAACACAATATATAATACAACATAGATATATTCAACAACCACTGAATTTGCATAGGAAACCTGGGTGTCTGCAAAAATTTCTGAAGGTGACACATCAAGTCTCCCATACTTTATATGAATAATTGGAAAATAGAAATAAAAAAGGGAAAAAAAATATCTAACATGTTTGATAACTTTCTGTAGATTATATTGGAAAGTACTATATATATACATTCTATACCTTGATTCTTTTTGATCGAATTAGCTCTCGCCGCGATATAGCCTTTCTGTGCTAATGCGGCGTAAAGCAAACAACAATCAATCAATCAATTGATTTTATTTGATGACTCCAACTGACCAGCAGCTGTATAACAACAGATTTTTTTTTATTCCATACCTCAGTACTATCTTTCTGTCCAGAGCTTTCTGTCCAGCAGCAGTACATGATGTAAATTAATTCATTCAAAATAATTAATTACAATTGCAAACTGATTTTAAAGAAACAGTTTGACAACTGAATAACCATCTTGAGAATGATTTATGGTCATGTTTACTTTCAGCTCATCATACATATCATAATTTATCACAGAAGTCTGACAAACAAAAAAAAGACAGACAATTTTAATCGTTCAATAAATCATTAATGAAATTGACATTTGATATTGTGATACATACTTTTAAGTACATCTTGAATGTATTTGAGAGCAAAGTTTAAATAAAAAAGAAATGAATATCTGATCTGCAGATATTTCTAAACGTGTATATGAATTGAAGGATGTGTAGGATACACATCATTTAGACAGCAACCCAAAATTAGAAATACACAAAAGACAAGTGTCTATACAGTATGTCAAGCTCTGAATTTGCCCATGACAAGCTATAGGTTTATTTTTTATTCCAAATATTTTCAGAATGTTGATCTCCGTAATTGTCATCCAATCTTGGAACCCCCCCCAAGAGTGACTGGGGAATAGAAGTATGGTCACCATTGGTCTTCCTCCGACAAGCAGTAAAACCCTCGCTAAAGTAGGGCGTCCGTTTGGCTGTGCGGGATGTACAAATTTGCAGCCACGTCCGGTCAGAATGGGAACGTTTAATCCGATAAATCGTGTAAAGAGAGTGCCACGCTCTTTGACCGTTAAGAACCATTACAACAACTCTTTGAGGGTCCGTAGGTGACCTGTTGCAAGACTAAATGTCTGACCCTATCCAATATACCCTCATTTCCCTTGGCAGTCCAAATTTCTCCGACCTTAATCCCGGACGCCTATATTACAGAACCTACCTATTGTATTTATTGTTAATTTGTTCTCGTCCTGAATATGCATGAAATATTTGCCACTGGACGTTAAGCAACCAACAATCAATCAATCAATCCAATCTTGGATCTAATATCATCTGATTGGGAACTCAGTCATCTAATCATTCCCTGTATTTATTCTTTTATTTGATGTGTATGTTTTCAATATCGTTCATCTCTCTGTCAACTGTTTGGACCAAGAAAAGACCGACTGTTTAAATAAAAACATAATGAACATGCATAAAAAAGGTAATTTTAGAAAAGCCCTTAACCAACACCTTAATTTATAAAATCTGATTAGAAAAAAAAGGATTACCTGGTTTGTTATGCGATCATAAGCAAGTAGGTGATATTAACTCTTTACTGTTTGTGCTTTTTTTAAGGAATTTAACATGGAAATGAACAAGATTTTCCAATCATAAAAAAAAATGCTTTTACAATTTACCAATGTTTATTTTTATTTTTTACATTGATAAATAGTATAACACAAAATTTTAAAACTCAGTTTCAGTCATATACCATGACAACTGTTGCCATAGCAACGAATTAAACAGCAAGTAAAAGCGGATTTTACAACGTTTTTAGTGTGTTTCAAGACTTCCATCCACCAGAACATGAACTTATATAGTCAAATAGGGTCTTTTCTAATAAGAGCTTTACCTGGTATTGTTTACTGGAAAAAATGTTGGAGTTTTGTTTTACATAAATCTGACCGTTCATATAAATTTCTGTTGCTAAGCAACAACCTTTTCTTCCTAAAAATATTGATTTTGTCTTGTTACCTTCAATACTGACTGTAAGTAGCAGTTTACACTTAGTAACACTTTAAACTAATACAAGTTATTTCCACATAGTTGTAAAAACTTGTAAACCAACTCAGTTTTATGGTTGCTATGGCAACCATGCAACTTTAAAAAATTAAAATTCGACCATAGGTACTATCATATTTTCTATTTTGTTATGTAAACTGTATTCAGTCGAAATAAGTGATAAAATTGAGAATGGAAATGGGGAATGTGTCAAAGAGACAACAACCCGACCATAGAACAGACAACAGCAGAAGGTCACCAACAGGTCTTCAATGCAGCGAGAAATTCCCGCACCCGGAGGCGTCCTTCAGCTGGCCCCTAAACAAATATATATACTAGTTCTGTGATAATGAACGCCATACTAAACTCCAAATTGTACACAAGAAACTAAAATTAAAAATAATACAAAACTAACAAAGGCTAGAGGCTCCTGACTTGGGACAGGCGCAAAAATGCGGCGGGGTTAAACATGTTTATGAGATCTCAACCCTCCCCCTAAACCCATAGCCAATGTAGAAAAGTAAACGCATAACAATACGCACATTTAAAATGACTTCACATAAGATTTGAAGTTTTTATTTCAGTAAGGGGCGTGAAAAACCAAATGGTTGCTATGGCAACAGAAAAATTGAAATTCCTCACCGTATGCATCAATATGAAAAAAAATTAAAGTTTGACTTGTTTATGTTTATTGTTTTGTTTTAGGTAAACAGATACTTTGATATGATACAAATAGTATCTTGCCGAACCATTTTTTTTGTTTGCTCTTTTGTTATTATAGCAGGTGCTCGGCATACTACTGACAGTTCAATTATACATAAGTGTATGTCCAAAGGTGTTGCAATAACCTACCTTTTAAAGAAACCTCTGTCCTTTTCTGTTGATGTTGAAACATCCATTCATTGTGTAGTTATTTTCCATCCTATCCAAGAACTTGATAGTGTTGATATTCAATTGTATCTCAACACATATAAAGTCCCCAGTAAGGATAGTTTTTTTTTCCATTTCCATTTTTTTCCCACTAAAACAAATAAGTAATATTTAACATAATACTTTTTCATTTTTCTATCCTTTACTTTTTTTTCATTTTCTTATTTTTTAATCATGAACTCAACAAGAACTATAAATTATTAATACATAATACATAAAAATATTGTTTATTTAACACTTGACAGTTAATGCATGACTATTGTGACATTCATAACAGTTGGTTTCTCTTTCTACCATTTTCTTTAATTCAATTTCTAACTGGTTTTCCTTCAACACTATGCCATTTTTGAAAGCAGTTTCTTTCAGGTACTAAACATAGACACACTGAACATTTTTCACAACAGAATACAGTTTTATTATGTTGAACAGGCAAATTATTCATCTTTGCATGAGCATAACAATAAGTACAACGCAGTCGATTAGAATTTTCATTAAAAGCAGGGGTGCATGCAAACGATTCATGCTTCTTTTCTAATGATTCAACATCTAACAATGATCTAACCAACGACTCTCTGTATTCTAATTGTCCAAAATGTGCAGAAAGTGATTCGAATTTATTTGGAAATTCAGTTCTGAATTCCTGGAAGAGAATGAAAGAATTTAATACCATCATATCAAGGCAATGGAAGAACAATACTTTCCACCAATGAAATTTAGTTTTAATATAACACCGATGCCTTGACAGATATTGGTTTGACTTGTCCACACCAAACATACCTTCATTGTAACTTTTAATACATTCTGGTTGCTTTACAACCTGTTTTTTCCAACCAGTTCTAGCTTGAAAAGTTCTGGTGCAACCAGATACCTTACTACCTGTGTGTATAGGAGAAACAATTGTTACTACCTTACAATCTTTCCACTGAACTGTCAAAAATCTGTTTTCTCTATGCCATCTAAAGTCGCCCCTGCCAGCAAGCTTTTCCCAGCCATCATTTTTTCTTAAACACACTAGGCTTGGCAGTACTGTTTCCACGAACAGCTCCTATGGTGTACACTTTCTGGTCTAACAAATCATTAATTAAATTTAAAGTTGTATAAAAACTATCAATTAAAAGCCTATAACCTTGATTACAATAACTTGGCATTAAATTCATAACTACACTATATGCCAGACCTTTTGATAAATTAGTTATTTGAGTTTTTTTTTTCCTTAATAAACATAAAAATCACATGTATAGCCAGTAATGGTATCAGCTAATACCCAAAGCTTAATCCCAAATTTTACAGGTTTATCTTTCATGAATTGCCTTATTCCACTCCATTTATGTTTTGACCTAACAATTCTTTCATCAACAGCAATCTTTTCATAAGGTTGAAAAAGTTCCCTTGAAATATTTCTTACATGTTCAATGATTGGTTCTACTCTTGTTAGTTTATTATCTGCAAAAACATGAAAAAGGAAGATTATGTGATATGTGAATATTAATAAACTGAACACAACAGTCAACATTAATACAATACTAAGTCAGTCAGTAAACACTGATAGATAGAGAACTGATAGTAAGATAACTTATGTCTATCATTGTCTATAGTATATTGAAAACCCATGGTACGAAACATATTTTTTTAATTTCAAAGTAAATAGGACAGGAATATCATTATTTAACAATGATAATTCATACATTAAATTAATCTTAAGATTAATCTTAGGATTTAATTTCCTGGACAGTCTCTTACCTTTGTCAACATCAGGTAAAGGTGTGATCTGTAGAAATGAAAGGATGGCCTTAAATCTTAAGCATGACATACACAATGGAACAGGGTTGAATCTGTACAGGACATCTCTACTCCAGTAGCGGTCAACAGTACTGAGTTTCATAAAGGACATGTATATCAATATACCAATGAACCTAAAAAATCTTACATAATATATATTTGCAGAAAGTAAGCTGAAATGAAATTTAACATTAATCAAGGCTTCTTTATTTTTTCCTAAATTTTTTTTTTTAAGGTGGCTGTCTTATTAGAATAAAACATATATCTTCATGTAGTACTGACATTTATTCCAAATGATGTTCTTGTGATTAGATGATTTAAAACTTTAACACAGACTTACAAGCCAGATAGTGTCTCATGCAATATTCAATATGAACATATTGCATGCATAAACATTATTAATTAAATGAAAGAATGCTACATGTACATTAAATGAAAGTATTTGCTTTTATTGAATATGTCCTTTCTAGATTTTCTGCACGTATATGTACAATGTCATTGTTTTAATTTGTGTTGCTAAGTTTTACTTTTCCATTTCCTGCTCTGTAACAACTTCCCAAGTTCCAGTAGGTCCAGCATATGACTGAAATCTACCATTCCTGATATGGTATGCAGCATGTTGATTTGTAGACAAGCAGAGAGATGTTAGCAATGTACCAGTTAAAATCAATTTAAAGAAATCAACAGGAGAGGTCAATAACTTCAATGTGTGTCTGGAAATAAACAGCAATAGTTTAGAATATTCTGGAAACTTTTCCCAAATAGCATTTCTTATTTATTTACACTGAGATTTAAAAATAATATTAATTCACATCTTTTTCTCCCTGAAAATTATGGTTACATGTAGGACATGTAGTTTAGTAATGAAGACAAATGTTAATAAATTTTGAACTGTAATTCACAAAAAAAATTATCTATAAGACTATTATTTAACCTAGACAATCTTCCAAATTGTATGCCTGGTTTCCTGTTTGGTTTGAACTGGACTGTTCTCGGATCTGGAGCCCCATCATCATTGCTGTTTTCATCTTTCCAGTAGATCCTTGTACTATTGGTGGTACATGAACTTGATCCACTTTCAACTGATGATTGTGAAGATCTGTTAAAAATGACATGAAATAAACTTCAATAATGATTAGAAATTATGTAAATGTAATATATGTAGGAGGTCTTCTTTATTAATTGGACTGTTAAAGGACCGAAGTTATCTGATGGTATCTGAGGAATTATAGGAAAAAGTCTAATTTGCCTAACGGAAAGACAATAATTAGTGAAAACTGCGAAAAATAGCGCTGGACAGCTTATTTTGAATACGAAAGCTATTAAAGATGCATAAAGTCTAGAAAAATAGATCTAGTCAATAAAAATAGCGTTCGCTTGGCATTTTCGATAATAAGCGAGCATTTTCGGGATATTTATTAGCAATTCAAACTGCCAGGATTATTTATTGATAATGTTTTTATTTAAATTAGATAGTCTGCATTATTGTGTAATTTTGAATACAAACATATAAGTATCTGTTGGTATCCATGGATTATCATGATCAAAATCATTTAATTCTTCCTCATTGTCACCAAGTAAGAAGTCCAAATAATCTTCCTCTTCTTCAGACATTCCTTCATCTGTATAAGGCTCTTCATAGTCATCAAAATCTGAGAGTAAAAAATATGCATTTCACATTTTTCAGAACAAATACAAACACAGGCGCGGATCCAGAGCTTAAAGCAGGGTTTTTTTTAGAAGCATTTTTGAACATTATAGAAGTTTTCTCAATTGTTATACCAAACCTTATGTTTTCAATACATGGCACACTTTTTGTTCATCCGGCATATGGTTATTCAAAATTAACATTTTAGATTAGCGTAGTTATTTAATTACAGATAAAAATACTTCAATAAAAGAAAATGGCAAACATTTAATGTACAAAGTTATCCTAAAATGTCTATTGTTGATAGTTTCATCCTGATGTTATAGGCTCTAGCATACTGATCAATCACTGATTCACTACACTTTTAACAATTTTCGTGCTGATATGAATATGCATTAAAGCAAGGAAATTGAGTCTCTCGCTTGTCATGGTTCATCACAAATAGGTCTTTAAGAGTTTGAGAGGGATGAAAGTCTTGTGCTCTTAATATGGCTGTTTGGAGGTATTCTGTTTTTTTCGTGAGATTTACATGCACCATTTACTTTTACTCAATTCTGAACATGTTTCTTAACAAAATGTCCGAGGTTGTGGTCAGTAGCCAACAATAAAACGCAAAATTTGCAGTTAATTCCGTCTGGTGAAGTTGAATAGACAATCCATGGGTAAAAGTGCAGCCATGCATATTTGAAGCATCTTTTAAACCCGTACATTTCCAGTTTAGGGAAAGGAAAAGAACTAGGTGAATTCCAGTTTTCATTTAGAATGCTATACATTTGAGCACTAGGATATAAAGTTTGCAATATCCTTAGATTCAGCAGGTGTCTCAGCAGTTGCAGAATTTAAAAAAATAATAAAAAAAATTATATTATTGATATAATAGAGTAAGAAAGTATTTTTCTTCAAATCAAGCTAACAGAAAATGTCGTTTTAATTATAAAACCAACAAAGTAAAAAAATATAGGGATAGCAGCCTTGGATTGTCTTAATTAAATCCTTTGATCCTCTAATTATTTTCCCCCATGCCGATGTGATTATGACATGTGTGTATTAAACGGAGTGTAGCGACAACGTGTCACCCCATTAAATTCTCACTGGATATTCAATTTTTAGTAAAGATATCATTAAAACGAGAAATGATTATGTGATTTTATGCTTTCTGTTCACAAAAAATATTTTAAGATTTTCAAGCAGGGAGGAGGGGGGAGGTCCCGAACACCCCCCCCCCCCCCCCTCCACCACCACCACCACCACCACCACCACCAAACACCCCTAAAATTGCTAGTAAAACAAATAACCACAGTTCTGTTGAAGAAATCATTCGGGACATGTACATGTTTATGGGATACATTTTATTTCACAAAGCAAGAATGACTGGACACGCCCATTTTTTCAAATACCATCACGGCATCGTACAAACACCCACTTTTGTTTCTGAAACTACATCAATTCAAAATTTAAGTAAGAATAACGTAAAAATATGACATCGGAAACCTCTGTATTCTGTCAGTGTTCTATAATACGAGTTGTGGTTCATGTTTCTGAAATCAAAAGGAAAAGTATAAAGTTCGTACTCAACAGCTCAAGGTCGAAAAAAAAACTACTGCTCGGAGGTCCATTTTCATCTATATAGAGTATCCTAATGAGACTTTAAGAACTGTGTTGCATAATTTTACCACAACAGTGTTTAATCAAATAAATTAATGTTCAATACAAGTTCAAGGGACTTTCAAATTGAAGAAAATCTAACCTATTTCATCGTCAACTTCTCTCGGGGGCGTAGCTATTTTGATAAGAAATTCTAACAAATAACAAGTCATGACGGGGGGAAAAAAATCCGCTTTTTTATCCTCCGACTTGAATCTTTCTCTAATCATTGCGAAGTAAACTGTAGACTAATAAATATGTATAATACACCAAAATTTAGATAATGTAATGAGTAACATGCAGCTAAATTTAGTTTTTCCTATTTGAATACGCATCAAGTTATACGAGTCCAAATGTCCGAAACAAAGAAAAACAACGGCAAACTGTTGACCACTTACGACTATACGTTTAAGAAAATCATTCTTAAAAAAAAAATAAAAGTGATTTTAGAAAAAATAAATCGGCCAAAAGTTTTAGTTTTGTCTATTGAATATTCGAGAATCCGTTCATGGAAGTGCGGTTGGAATTTAATACCCAATTTGCCGTTCAACTGCAGCTTTGTACTTTGTGAAATGGCGGTAAATTTATGCAGTTTTCTCGGATTGTGTTTTTTAAATTATTAATTTTTTGTGTAAATTCAAGCAAGTATTTACCGATGACAGTTATATATTTAAAATCTTGAGAACCTTAGCTTTTTAAAAATGTATAACATTGCATATGTATTTTAAAGAACACCTATCTAAAATGTGGATACTTTTTACCGCTAACGAAAAAAAAAGCTTATGACCCGATTTCGGGTCATTGGAACGGTAAAGAGTTAAACAATTATGGACTTTTGATGAGATTAATACTACTTTATTTAATAGATTATGGACAGAGTCGTGTGATATGAAAAATTAGCCCACAAATGATCAAAGCAAAATTTTCGAAAAAATGATTTATCTACCAGAGATATACGATATTTACTAAGGACAACACCATACCTCTGGGGCTGATAAAATATCAACAAAGATATATTATTTTTGCAATACAAAATACCATTTAGTGACTCAGCACAATGTTTTTTGGAATGTAAAGGTTGTTTAGGATTTTTTTTTTAATAACAAACGTTAGCACATCATGGACAAACAAGTGAGTAACCTATGTTTAAAATTTTATAATGAAAATCTCTGTATTAAAGTCTGTGGATGTTCTGCTAAAATTTTGCCTGTATGTGCCACATTAACCCCATTTTCTATCTAATGCAATACAACAATAAATAATATAGCTTTGAACGGAGTTTCACCTTGGTATCTGTACAATATGGCACATCTCTAATATTCATTATCTATGATATGAAAAATTAGCCCACAAATGATCAAAGCAAAATGTTCGAAAAAATGATTTATCTACCAGAGATATACGATATTTACTAAGGACAACACCATACCTCTGGGGCTGATAAAATATCAAAAAGATATATTATTTTTGCAATACAAAATACCATATAAAAGAATTGACAATGATCGACATATCTATGCATAAAAATTTGCCTGATGTATAATGTTGTCAATTATGATGTTAACGGTTGTTATGTAGTTACAATAAATCTAGGCAGTGAATTAAGAATTATGTACCCTTTTGTTGTTTCACTCTAAACATATGGACATTTTATAGAAAATCCACAGCCTTTCCTTTGTATTCAATTATTTGACCATTCTGTGATTGACAGATAGAGGATTATTGCATGCAGTGCTAGCAACGATTTCTTTAGGACATGTTTATAAATGAAAATATTGGTTAGAACTAATATAAATATGGACCAATTCAAGTACACCACCTAGGGTGCACTCGACTTTCGTGACTCAGCACAATGTTCTTTGGAATGTAAAGGTTGTTTAGGATTTTTTTTTAATAACAAACGTGAGCACATCATGGACAAACAAGTGAGGAACCTATGTTTAAAATTTTATAATGAAAATCTCTGTATTAAAGTCTGTGGATGTTCTGCTAAAATTTTGCCTGTATGTGCCACATTAACCCCATTTTCTATCTAATGCAATACAACAATAAATAATATAGCTTTGAACGGAGTTTCCCCTTGGTATCTGTACAATATGGCACATCTCTAATATTCATTGTCTTTGCTGCTTTGATATTATTACACTTTGAAAATTTCGTAATAAACATGGCGACAGAAGGGGTCATAAACCTTAAAAATCTGACCAGCAGATATATTTGTGTCTTCATCATCATGATCATAAACTATTATACAGAAATTATACATACATTGTATCATACATTATATGTACAGTGTATTAATTACCATAAGCTTAGATCTGCATCTTGAAACTCTGGACCTGGTTCACAACCTAGATCTGCCATGTCATCCCCAGGTTCATTTTCAGTATCAGATGCTGGTCTTGGCCTTTTCTGTGGAACTGGGTGTTTGAAGAGTTCCCTCCTTGGTGTTATCTGGTTATATCAATAAAAGATTGAGGGAACACTGTCTTGTTTAAGAGTCTTCCTGACAGGAGTCCACTTATAATCAGTTGATTTGAAATGCCTTGAGCATAGTACTCTCTGATCACTGATTTGAAATTGAAGTTTTATGATTGGTATTCATTATTCCTACATATAATCTATTGAGTTATAATATATATATGTAAATCTCCATAAATAACTTGCTGAAAAGCTGCAATCATCCAAAAAGATATATTGTTGACTTTGAATGACAGACCAGAATTTTCTAACCATAACATACAATAAGCTGCTTAGGGTATTTAGGTTTTTAT